CGAGACTTGGTGTTGACGACATTCCCATCTTCCCTCCTCTTTCGTCTAACCCCTCCTTCTTCGTCTGTGTATGGTTGGGGCTGGCGCAGTCTTCCTGTGTGAAGCGCCAGACCCCCTTCACACCAGATAACGATGATGATGATGTATGTTCAGGGCTGCATTGCAATATTGATTGTTCGGATCATTCGTATCTAAGTCTTCCGCTGTGCTATCTTATACTTTGTATTGAAAGGTCGGTTCTTGTTCTGGTCGGCACGTTACAGTATGCAACATCACTGTCCTCGTTCCCTCTTTCTTCCCGGCAAACCAAAAATAGCGTACAAGTTAAAACTGATACCTACCAGTGAAAACGATTCCGAAGTGACCCTCAGCCAGACGTGGTTCGTAGTCCAATTCTACACCACTGTCACAACAAACGTTTGTTGCAGATCCATTGAATATTTCAATTTGTACGGATTTTGTGTTGGGGCCGTCGAGTGCCTGCCTGGGGAGTCGTGGGGACGTTGGATGGAACCCAGTCCGTCTGGGCCGTCCAGGGACCCAGAGTCACTGTGGCTGCCAGGCCTGGGATCCCACATGGAAAATATATATGATGAGTCGGTGAAACTCCGACGAAACAGTTTGTCACAGCCCCTCGTTGGTTGTCCTCTTCTCTCTCTCTGCCTACGGTTTTACCGGGCAGTTCTGTTTGTGACGATATATATACATATATATTTTTTTTCTTCTGAAGGGTGACGGCCTTGAGATATCATTATTGAACTGACCGGCCCCAAGTAATCCAGAATGCCATTGTTTTGGTAATTTGACTGTGACTGGATTGGAACGTGGGTGTGTATTTCAACAGCTCGTGGGTGTAGCAGCTGAGCTAGGCCTGTTGGTGGCGAGTCTTTTTTCTTCTGATTTTTTTTTTTTTTTTTGCTCCTTTCCTTTTTTCCGATCAATGCATCAATGCACCCACTAATCGAACAGGTATATCTTGCTCTGCACCTTCACAGGTGGATAGTTTAGTAGTCCTTTCCTCTTTCTGGACCCTGATGTCCTTTTCCTCAATTATCAACTACACTGTCAATGGAGATGGGTCATCTTCCTTTCGTGTCAACTTCCTTCTCAATTTGTTCATCCACAAACTGCTAGGATTTTAATCATTTTATCATGCTTTGTAATTGTGAGGAATGTGCATGGCTGTGTAGCTCGGCGAACATGTTCCGGGGTTTTCACGAACATGCGAACATGTTCTCTCCTGTTTGGGAATTTGTTGACCAGAAAACGTTCGCCCATATGTGGGAGAACGTTTTTTTTTTTAATGGTTTTTTAAATTTTAAACTTATTTTTTTCTTTTTTTCTTTTTTTCTTTTTAACTCGTGTGTTTGGCTAAGAATTTGGAGATGCCTCCAAGGCAGAAGTTGTTTGTATTATTATCTTACATAATATATTTATTTTCAGATTTTTTTCTGAGAGTTTTTTTTTTTTTTGGAAATGTTCGCGTTTGGAGGGTTTTGGCTCCCGAACGCGAACACAATGATACACAGGTGCACGGTTCCTTTTTTTCTTTCTTTTAAACGACCAGTAAGTACATCCGTGCCTTTTTCGTACCAGGCGGAATTACCCTGTGCGCCAAGCTTTGCCGAAACACCAGCGTGGCGTTTTTGTTTTCGTTATGGCTGGCCCGACCAGTCATTTTGGTCCGGTGGTCCCAAGCCTCCGAATTTTTCACAGAGAGAGCCTCTCGTTGTTCTCAAGTCGCCTGGGGCCATGTACTGGTGGTTAAAAGGGGTTTGTTTGGCCCCTAATGAAACCATTGTATCCATCAGGGTATGAACTCTTGATCCGTTTATCAACAGCTACATGTTCTTGACCATTTCAACCAGCAGTCTGTGTTTCACTAAGGGGCTCATGTCGATTGTTTTAGGGCCGGTTGTGTGGCCTCATTTGTACACGTGCGCTCTTTCCTTGCACATATGGAAAATGTAATATGTACCTTTTTTTTTTTTCTTTTCATTGATGGATGTGCAGGGGTGCATCGAGTTTATCATTCAGCGGTACACAAGAGAGGCTGGTGTGCGTGACCTTGAGAGGAATCTTGCGGCAGTATGTAGGTCAGTGGCAGTCACAGTCAGCGAACGGATGGCATTGGCTGAGAAACACAAGGAGCAAAGGAGAAAGGAGAGAAGGGAGATGAGGGAGATTGCAAGGCGGTCTATGATGGAGAAGGTTGACGCGCAGGCAAATGATGTCCCGGCAGCTTCAGGCGACGAGGGGGAAAGGAGCGAAGTCGGCGGGCAGGCACTTGAGGAACGGAGAGAACAGGTTGTTGAGAAAGATCCCAAGCAGGTGGGCAAGGGTGAAGGGCGCAGTGCTAGCGAAAAGGAGAAGATGAATGATGATGTAGATAAAAAGATCTCTGAGGCAGAGGGAAGAGAAGATGAGGTGGTTGCGAATGCAGAGATAGGGTTTCACGAGGCGATTGAGAAAATGAAGAGGCGGCTAGGAGAAAGTGGGGGCTTGCTCGTTGTGGTCTTGGATGCTAGACCCACAGGGATGGAGGAGAAGGAGGTGGTCGCAGGGAGTTCTAACATGAATCAGACTGAGGTTAGGGGTCAAGGATCAAGCGGCACTAGCTCCAGCGATGATAGCAGTAGCAGAAAGACGGTGGAGAAGGAGGAGGACAATGATGATGATGAGGTGGACAAGGAGCTTCAGGAATTTCAGAGGCTAGTTATTAATGAGGAAATGCTTGAAAATATTCTCGGAGTGAGTATTCCTTCCCTTTCTTCTGCTTCTTTTTACACTCTCAGTTTCTCAGGAGAGCATGACATCATCATCTCTATGCCCTTTCGTTCACTCGTAGAGTCGTTAAACAAAGGAAAATAGTACAAAACACATCTAGCAGGACATCTGATACAGAAACGTTGATACCGAGAGCGGGCAAATCTGTATGCGTGTATCTGTGTGTGTGGCTAGGGGGATCGATGGGCAGGTGGGAAACATCGACAAAGGGAGGGATGGAGGGGGGGGGGGGGGGCAGAAGGGCAAACAGAAGGCTGTACAGCCTTGAGTCCTTGACCGATGACTTGCATCTCCTAGGTGTGTTTGTGAGGGTTCAGATCCTCGAAGTTGTTGAAAGCAACAAAAAAGAGGCTTAGAATTCGAAAACGAGGAAGAAGAGTCGAACCAATCACAGGGAGAAACCAATGCACTTGTCATGACTTTGATTAGTCCTAAAATCCAATAATGCGAACACGGAATCCTGAATCTTCACTGAAATCACAGCAAATGCCCATACTGACTGATGGATTGATGGATTGATTGCCATTCAAAGGTGTGTAGTGAAACTGAGATCTGAATTGGAATCGTATCATTCAGTTCATCCGCAAGGCATGTAAGTTTAGCAAAGTATCTGATCTGATCTAAGACCAGGTCGAGCAGGTGAGTGGTTCAATCCTCCATCCCACATCTCTGCCTGCATTGTGCATGGACCTGGCCCATTACAAGGCCATTGTACATGCGTCTGACCACTGGGACCTGTGGGACAACGGCATCATGGTCCATGCAATGACCGATGTTACCCATGATCATCCTGGTTTCTTGCCACACAAAACCATCCACGATCTCTCTTATGCTGAAGATCATTCCTCTGGTCCCGCGATGCAGCAGGACAATGTACTAACACTCTGCGGCATTCTCTTTTGCACAACTACAAACAATGTTACACTCGGCTGTTGCGGCCATCGTCTTTGTCACAATCACTCCAATGACATGGTCTCTGCATCCATGTGTGTGGAGGACTGTCCTTCCGTTCCTGACTTTAGGCACCCTCCGCATCCGGACAATATATATGTCCATTTCACGGCCATGGGCGCTATATTGAATGCATTCTCTTTTGTGGTGAATGCTCCTCCTTCATGCTGACCTGCAATCGACATGCGATTTGTCGGGGGTGTATGGCGGGCATGCTCAATGCCAGCCGTTGTGGCACTTGTTGTACTGAGAATGCTCAGCTAGATCTTTCATGTGTTCATCCACCTCATCCGTACAGTGTCTATCCTCTCTGTTGTCAAGGACAGACTGATTCTTGAGCCTTTTCTTATCCTCTCCTTTGCCTTCATCTTCTTTCCACGGTCCTTACTTTCCCTTACTTTCCCTTTGCTGTTCTTTGTGTTTTGTCTTCTCTTCATCTCACGTCTCTGTGTTTATGCCTTCCCTTTTACTCTGCCTCTTCCTCACAGTGAACAAGTGGGCTGATATGGCGCAAGGGGATGCGGGCGGCTCGCGCTCAACTTCATCAATGCGGCGAGCCTTGTACGGGAGAGGCACGGTGCAGGGCGAGTTAAAAGAAGAATGAGAAAAATGAATGGTTTCAGCGTGATCTTCATGTTTGTCTTTTTTTTTTTTTTTCCCCCGGTTGTTTCACACACTGCACTCTTGTAATTCATAGATATGTGACAATACATTGTCACATATTTATTTTTTTAATCGTTCAGTTATGCTGTCTACGACTCTATGGTCTTTTTTTTTTTTTTTTAATCGTTCAGTTATGCTGTTGTGTTAACTGGATAAGAACTCGTTACCTGATTAAATATTATCAGTCCTATCAACTTCTATGTGTGTACCAGTCGGCCACCAGGCAGGTACACCGATGCGCATAAAACTTGATGGCCCTAAAAATGCTCATAAAACTTGCATCATATTATGATACATGCAAGGCCACAAGGCCCACAGTTGGAGCGAGTGCAGGCTAGCCCTAAAATGGCTGGTTCTGGAAAGATCCAGGCCAAAGTGACAAAAAAACAGGCGGGTCCAGATCAGACTGAGATTGGAAAGAGCCAGGGCCTACGCGCCCAACCAGCCGATAGGGTCAAGGCCACTCGGGTACTTTCCCGACCCCAGCCTCTCCAGGCCCAAACTTCTTAGAAGCTGGGGTAGCTGATTCCCCTCTCTGGGGATTTGACTGGCGGCTGCACAGTGTTCCGGCTCAGCTCTACAGGCTAGCGCTGGCAATGAAGCTGCCCGTAGTCACCTTTATCTTAGACTGACACAAAGGGGTCGGCATGGGAAGGATGGCGCTGGCTATAGCTTATGGGGGAGCGTGAATGGTGATTGCGGCTGCCCAGAGTGATTGAAGAGGTGACATAGCCTCAGCCTGTGGTGACTGTGTGGCATCGGCAAGCTCACTCCTTGGTCATGCTGTTCCTCCTTCAGGAGTCACTTGCTCACTGAACTATGTGAGGGGCCCATCTGGGTGTTCGCTGTTCATGCATGCGAGCTGTGCATATGCTAGGCCGATCAGTGAATTCAATACTGGCCTGCAATCTGGGGCTTTCGTGAATAGGGACGGTCTAGATCACGAGCCGATCCAGATTCTTGGTGATCAGCCTGCGATCTGGGCTGTTTGCATGCACGAACGGGCCAGATGGCTGTTCTGGATGCTGCTCCGTTGATTCTTTGATTCTCCTTCTTCTACTCGTTCTTTGATTCTTCCACCTGCTGTCGCCGCATGAGGTCCCTCTGCTCAACCACCTCCCTCCCTCCATCGGCTGGAATTCCTCCCTGCCTCCACCCCACCTCCTCCCTCCCTTCACCAGACCTCCTCCCTCCCTCCACCAGACCTCCATCCCTGCGCCTGGCGTCCTCTCAACCTACCCCTGACCTCCACTCTACCTCCTCCCTCCCAACCTCCACCTCGTGTCTACCCTCTCTCCTCCCTCCCTCCTGCCTCCCTCCATCCCTCCCTCCGTCGGCTGGAATTCCTCCCTGCCTCCAGCCCACCTCCTCCCTCCCTTGACCAGACCTCCTCCCTCCCTCCATCAGACCTCCATCGCTGCGCCTGGCGTCCTCTCAACCTACCCCTGACCTCCACTTTACCTCCTCCCTCCCGACCTCCACACCGTGTCTACCCTCTCTCCTCCCTCCCTCCTGCCTCCCTCCACTCTCTCAGGCGGACCTCAGCGTTGCTACATGTGCACCACTCACAGCTGTCAGGCAGGTATTGTTATTCCTGGGAACAAATGCTCATCTAGAGGATTCAGCTCCAACTCCTTGCTTGGTCAATAACTGCTGAAGGCCAATTGAATGCACACTCTCAATCCAAACCAACAAGTGGGATGTCACCTGTTTTTGGAAGTAAGACTTTGTTTGGTCTAGTCCTCCGAAACATCCGTTAAAATTGGAACGATACAGAGAAGATTAGCATGGTCCCTGCGCAAGGATGACACACATAAATCGAGAAATGGTCCAAATTATATTTATAAAAAAAAGGACCTTTTGGTATCAGCTTCATTCTATCCTGGAGAGTGACAATCTGAGTCCTTTTGTCCCAGCAAGTCAACAATACAAAGAACGCACTTGAATGCTTCCCCTCATTACAACTGGCTGTTGCCACTTGTGATTAATCTCAGCCTCCCAAGCGTGATTTGAGGGAAGTCGAAGACAGAGTCTCAAGCCCTGGCGTAGCTGTCGGCCTTGTTTGGACTGAATATGGAGGGGACATCCTGTTTGTGGAAGCGACATCAACCCATGGCAAGGGGGACCTGCGACTGACTGGAAGGCTCGGTGAAATGACAAAGGAGTCAGCACAAATTGCACTTACTTGGGTTAGTTGCTCTTTACATTGTCTTCCAGAAATTTTTTTTTTTATTATTATTTTTTTTTAACAAAACATTGTCTTCCAGATTGTATGTGTGCTGTTTGAAGAAAAGGAAGATAATATGCAGATAACACTTTCGCTTGGATTGGACTCTTGATGGCATGTACAATTCATCAAACAGCAACGTATAGTTGTCGGCAACTTGTCGCTACTGTTAGGCCAGGTCACAATCCACCGGGCAAGTCCAGTTAGAAAACAAGTGAAACGAAAACAAGTGAATCGAAAACAAGTGAAATGAAAACAAATGAAACAAACACAAATGAATGTATCAATATCAGGCAATAAGCCAGGTTATTGGGAAGCTCATCGAAAATGCTCCAGGTAAACCAGTCCGGCTGGAATTGCTGAGCCATTAATGCAAACCAAAGCCCCCAAGGGCATGCTATGAAATTATGAGTGTGTGTGTGCGTGTGACGTGGTGAGGAACACCCTTCTTCAGTTTCAGAACTGTTCGGGGTTGAAGCGTTACAGTAGGTCTCGGGAATCTAGGGAGGTTTCTGTTTGGGGAGCTGGCTATTATTATTGGAACACAAGGCCTGCCTCATCAGGATCTGGAGGCGGGGTGTCGGTACTGTGGATCTTTGCACCATGTGTGACCATGGGTTCAAACCTACGACCCATGATCGGGGTAAAGAATCAGAAACGCAAAGCACAAAACTTTCCAGGCGAAGTAAGAGGAGAGGGAGGGGGGGGGGGGGGGCTGGGGGGAAAAAAAAAAAAAAAAACAGCAGAGAGGGACCCAATCCACCTCAGTGGTTGACTCGTCTGTGTGTTGGTACTTCAAGATCTCTACCTTGGTTGCCCTGTGACATCCCACAGATACCTGATGCTCACCATACTTCGATCCACACACTTGTACCTCTCAGTCAGCTGTTTGGTCCGCAAAGTATTGTAAAATGGCAGCTTCAGTACTTTCCTTCCCCTGCCCGCATCATCACCAAATGGACTTCTCAATGGTCTTATAGGGTGCAGACCACATCGCGTTAAAAGCAATCCGGTTCTCGAAGAAAACCTGTGCCATGCACGACCCATGTCTCTCTGCAGTTCGTCGGTTAATGGAAGTTTCCAGACTGAGGCCAGTCCGGGTGGGAGGTCATGAAGAGTGCTCGAAAGCTAAACGAGGTCCCATGAGGTATTGGACAACCTCATTGGGGACCAGCGGAGAGGAACTCCCACCTGCAGCATTGATGCCCGAGTCCGGCCCAGGTCACGGCACGAGAGAGTTTGTAGCATCACTGACACTTTCTTCCCTGGATATGTGACCTCCCTGGCGGAATTCCTTCTCTTCGCAATCAGCGTTACTCTTTGAGGTAGTGATTTAGTATGTTCATCAGCTTGGCCAGGATCTTTGCCGTGGCATGAATATCTCACCGTTATATGCTTGCAGTCGCGGTATAGGTCTCACGTGGATTTCGCAAGCCTTGATCACGTCCATGATGATGATATGATGGTGGTGATGATTGCTGGTGGAGTAGACCAAGAAGAAGATCAGGAGTTGGTCTCACACAAGATAATCACACCCCTAGGTTCTTGCGGAGAAGAAGAAAGGAAGAAGAAGACGAAGAAGAAAGAAATGAGATTTCAAAGACTAAAATCTTTCAGGGCTTTGCACGTGATGAGCAAGATAAGAAAGAAGAAGAAGAAGAAGAAGAAGAAGAAGAAGAAGAAGAAGAAGAAGAGAGGAAGAAGAGAGGAAGAAAGAGCTTTCCTTGTTGGCTGGTGTTTGGCGGGCGACCTTGCTGGGCAGGGGTAGAGTGCACTGCTTCCTGGATGACGGCAACCTCACCTCACATGTGCAATGAGGTGAAATGTGGGTGAGCTGGCTCTTCTGTTGCGGCCCGGCTTTGGAAAGTGCCTTCCTTGGCGAAAATTCAACCACTGAGGTCAATCAGGCAGTCAGACACACTAGTCTGCCTCCCAGGGGGAACCACTCGGCACCTCACTGGCAAGCACCAACGGGTAGATCGGTCGGCTGGTTGGTCGCTGACTGGTTGGGTGGGTCAGAGACAGTTGGCCAGGCGACTGTGGTAATGAATAAAATAAATGAAGGAGGGTTAGTGACATTCGTAATTTTGTACACATATGTCACTGCTGCCGCAGTGCCTCTCTGAATGGAATGTGATACCCTGAGACTGATAACAAAGCTTATCTAAATTTGGCCTCTAGATGTGCAAACTTCAAAGAGCCACACTGATGAAACCAGGATTGCTCAACATTCTTTGGTCGTAGCTTTTGGCCAAGTCGAGTTCCAGCGTCAATATTCGGGCTGTAGGGTCCTAGGGCTGCAAAGAGAGGCCCTTTGGTTGGTAGACAACCCGGACTATTTTCAAATAACGTCGCCCAATCTTTATAGCTGTATTTGTGGCAACTTTCAGTCTAGATGCAGCAATAAGGACGATGCATTCTATTCAGTTGAAGACGGTAGGTACGGTGAGTCTCCGCCGCCCCGGGACCTGAAATGGTCAACTCAGGCCCAGAGAAAGTCAACAGTTGGGCTCTCCCGGGTCCAGCAGTTCAAAAGTCAAAGATTCATCCAGAAGCAGCCACAGCCACAGATCACACACAAATCCAAGGCTCACAATCCAGGGCCCACTGGGTCAAGACACACACAGGCTTTGGGAAGATGGGGACCATTCATTGGAGGCAACCTGAGGCTGGTCAGGCCGAGTCAAACGCTTCAAACTGGGCCCGTCCTAGCTAGGTCATTCATTCTGCCTTGTCCTTGCTGAAGAGCCACTGAGCACTAGCCCTGGAGGAAAGGCAGTCTGAGAGATATTGAGTGGGAGTGAGAGTGAGAGTGAGAGAGAGCCATAGCCAGAAGTCGGGGGCGCGCACTTGTGCCATAGCTAGGTGCTGAAAGGGAGGTAGAGGATTGAGGGCGAGACTATAGGGTGTGGGAAGACAGTTGTGAGACACAGAAGCTTACCTGGACTTCCCTGCTGGTGTTGCGGTGAAGAAGCAGACAGCATTTTGCTGTCAAAGGCTTCGCATTGTCAGCGGCGATTTTGCTCTTCATTGCGCTGGCTTGATGAACCTAGTCCCAGAGAAAAATTGACTTTGAGCATGACATGCATACCGCCGAGGCACTGAGGGAAGAGAGTGCAGCTCCGTGCCTAGTAGTTGGTAGGAGCCAAATTACCAAGAAATAGTTCCAAGACACGAGTGAGAAATCGATGTATTTTGACAGGACGATCTCGTTCCGACGTCCCCGGGTTTTGGGGTAGTAAGTGTTAATTACCCAGCAACAACATCTATTGAAGTATGCGGTGGCAACCTTACGGCTCGAAGAGCAGACGCTTCGCGTCTGGGAAATTCTTTCAGAAGCAGGTGCTTTAGAATATTCTAGTCTGTCGATTTAGGCTCCTTCATGAGTGCTGCAGTGGCAATTCGAACGAGCACAACACAGAGGTAGAAGAGGGAGAGGGCAGAGACAAGTCATTGTACCGATTCATTATCGGTTTCAGTTGTTCTTCTTCTCTCACTCTTCTTCTTCGTCTTTCTTGTCCCTGGACTACATCGCTACCTCCTGTGTCATTCGTGAAGCATTGTGAGTATTTCATAGTTGCGGCGCACTGGTACGGTGTGCAGTGCGGCGCGGGGCGCTGTGCGCCATGCGTGAGAGAGAGGTGCACGTGCACTTGCGAAAACAAACAAACAAACAAACAAACAAACAAACAGTTGCGTCTGTGTGTGTGTGTGTGTGTGTGTGTGTGTGTGTGTGTGTGTGTGTGTGTGAGAGAGAGAGAGAGAGAGAGAGAGAGAGAGAGAGAGAGCTCATGATCTGTTCAATTGTGTCAAGTTGTCAACTGTTTCAACAAGAGTTACATGCCTTTGACAGCAAGGAAAAGCAAATTAGAGGAAGTAGACGTTAAGGCTCATGGGTACTGCATACGGCAGTGCATAGTATCATCAGTGTTCCACGTTTCGAATTATTCAGAAGTGTGCAGACGGGCGTGTCTCTGAAGAGGTGTGTGTGTGTGTGTGTGTGTGTGTGTGTGTGTGTGTGTGTGTGTGTGTGTGTGTG